ACAGCCTGCCTCTCTTCCCAGTTCACTTTGGACATGTCGGTCCAAGCTCTTTACCAACTGTAAGTGTCGTCCTTGCTCTCGCGCGACGATCTAATATACATGTCCTTGTCGTCCCAGCATTGTGCGAGACTATGTCTTTGCAGCTGTCTCATGCAAGTACATTTTTTGCTTCTCACCGCGCTGCTTAGAGTGTTTATCTCATAGGTCTCGTCGTCTATGAACTCTTGATCACCATCGGTAACGAGATTGAAATTGTCTGGAAGAGGCCTATCACGGCATCCGCCGTGATCCTTGGCTCAGTGAGATGGTGCTTACTCCTCTCGATTGCCCTGGAACTCGCGCCAGAGACTCCGAATGTAAGCCTCCAATGTTCTTTGCCATGTAGTCTCTCCAATGGCGCTTTTTATAGGAGTGAGCATAGTATATTTGGATTCCATGCGCAAAATATCACCTAACAGAACCCAACCAACAGCTGCATACCGCTTGGCATCATGACCTGGATACTCATCCTCATCGGTTCATTCAGACTGCGCGTATGCATCACACTGTAGCCTACTCGAGTCTACTTGTCCACTGACTTGGCTCTCGACACCCCAGTCTTTGCCTCCCTACGCGTCTTTGCAATCTGGGACAGGAGCTATGTTTGGTCGCTGATAGTATTCGCGTTGAACATGGTGCAGTTTGCGACTAATGTGGTGCGTGTCATCTCCACTGAAATCTGCGTACACCCTTATTGACGCTTCTATACAGATCTTCCCAAAGCACAGTTTCATCGTATATCCACTCGTCGGCGTGAAGTGCGTCTCGATATATCGGTTTTCTGCGCAAACAACCGGCATGTAGGTGCACACAACTTGCTGTTACAGTTTCGGAATGCTAAACCATCACAATACAGAAGTAGGCCTCGTGGTAACAGCCTTTCAACGCGCTAGAAACACTGACACCACTTGCTCACAGTCGTATACATCACACGCGGTTCAGCTGTCCTCGCTGACGCGATTGTGCTCGTCCTAACGTGGATCAAAACATTCGGACGTTGGAAGCAAGCCCGCCGCCTCAATGCTGAGGTGTCGCTAACAGCGTGTTTTCTGCGTGACGGTAAGTGGTTACCCATACACCGTCACATTTTCTGCTGCTGAGACATAGCTTCCCACACAGGAACGATCTTTTTCATGTAAGCGTGACAAGAAAGTCCACACCCTGGAGAGATTTCTCACGGACCACGGTGAATAATAGCGCTCTAGTAGCGATGAACATAGCCCAGCTGCTGACTTTCGACTTTTCCGCGGTACGTCTCCGACATAGTGCGCGAGTCAATGGCTAACGCCGTACTCAAGGACCTATCGCCCATGTCCTCGTTCATCTCTACCCTAGTGCGTGCTCTGCTTCCCATTCACCTTTTTGATGTTCACGCATTGGGCGCGCAGCCTCCGGTGCTCATTAATCGTTTCTTGATCAACCTACGAACAGTCGACTCGGAGGCGCTGGACATTAATGACCGGCAGCAAGAACAGTCGTCATTCCGGTTCAGGAGGTCAACGAATCGATTGGGCAACATTGGGGAGACGCTGCAGGATGGCTGGAGTGACGAACCCCGGAACGAAGAGAACGGTTCCGCAGAAGTAGGCGGGGAAGGGCATAGTGAGGTCAGCGCGACTATATGAGGCAATGTCGAAGGTTGCACTAGAGATCGCTCTGTTCCGGGTGGACAGTAATATTTGCATCGTATGCGACCAGGAAACCTGGAGGTTACGGCATTAGTCAAGTGGTGTGTCGTTAGTCATCTCGGAGCATCTATTATTGCTACTGCGAAGGTATCGAAGAAGTCAGCGGCGAATGTATTCAATGGTAGAAGCTCAAGGTAGAAGCTCAGATCGAAAGGGTATTAATTTGGCTCAACTGCCATCCAGGAGCTATTCTCCATTTCGGCAGTGCGAATTTTCCGTTGATCACCCACTCAGCTGCGGTCACTTTTCAGTTAAACATTCTACAAGACATCGTCATGAGCTCGCCTGAATTGGGGAGTTGACGACTGGCGGAAGCGAATTAGGCTCAGTAGCACTGGAGCTGGAAGCCGGCGGTGTGGCGGCCTTGCTTGGGGCTGGCGAGAGACTTGTTCTGCCGAACAATCAAATTATCTCCTGAACGCCTGCACGATCGCAGTGACGGAACGTCCAAGGGTGCTATCTGGGAGCTGAGACGTCCCGTACGAGGCGGCTTCCCGATCGTGCTATGACTACGGGTTGAGAGCAACGAACATTGCGAGTCACCCACAAGTGCTGGCCCCGTAGCCAGAAGACTCACAGCTTAGAAGGGCGGTTAGAGTTTCTGATACGTGCTGCCCGTCGACATCTGCTGTTTGAAGTAGTGTATGTCAGAACTCGTGGACGTCGCAGATGGAGCTGATAGCACGGACTGGCAACATGGCCAGCCCTGGTCAGCCTGCTCATCTCCTTGACATGGTGAAAATGACCATTTCCACTGAAAAAATCTACCGCAGCCGAAGAGGCCTGCTGGCGCTGACGCGAATCAGAGACTCGGAGGTGCTGATCGTCTTGAGCCAATTGAGCCACCTTCCTCTTTCGGATGACAAAGCAATAAGCGCTTTGCCGCCGCGTCGACCGCCGCCGTCGCGACGCTCGCTGTTTGGTGCAGAGTCCCGGGAACTGGAAGGCGAAACTGACAGCCTGGGGATCGATGATTACGATTTTTGATACTCGATGCATCCGGGCCCGACACTTCTCACACATGTGAATCGGACTAACTCTTCGTTTCGCAATCCCGCGCGCGTCGACATGTGTATTAGCCCCAAAGGCTGCATGGCCAAAGGGAGAACATTATCATCGCAGCGGCCAGCAGGTGAGTCAATGACGAGACAGAGAGGTCCAACTGCCTCCGTCGCTTGATATTCCGGCGTGTCTTGCACTCTGAGTCGTCTTGGTGTCGACGTGATCATGACAGACGGTGATCTTGTGTAGTGACCGCGTGTAATGCTAGGTGGTAGCTCCCTTCCGCTCCGCGGACGGGCAGCGGGTGGACGGACCACTCACGTGTATGTACTTCAGTGACACGTTCGTCCCTACGGGTTCCTTGGTACTAACACTTGGTTTAGATCAGAGAAGTCCCACTTGTCTGGTGCGCCGCTTGGGGCCTGCAATCTTTCATTAGCGGCATATTCT